CCATTCAGTGTTTTGTAAGCCATATGAGGACTGTCCATGACCAGCTCTCTAGAGTCAACAGATTTTAAAGGCAGTTGAATCTTTGACATGTATGACATTTGCCGGGAAAAAAAAAGATAGCTGGCTCATGAGGTGTCTGCGTATAGGTAATGGGATTAGTACATTCCCTCTAGCAGTTTCCTGGCTGAATGCTCCAATTTATAACATACAACATCTATAAATGGGGGATTCTATGCTTTCTTTTGTTCCTTTTCTTTATTCATTTAATACTAAATTCTTATACAAGGTTATTGTTTTCAGTCAGTGCTTAAAAACCCCTTCTAAATCTTTCCATTTACAAAGCATAGTTTATTAATATAAAGCATAGTTCTACCAAGTACTACAATGTGACCAAAAATGTTACCACTTTGGGGTACATCGTTGTGGGTAGACAATATGGCTCCGTTTTTAAAGGCCTTTTAGTTAAGCTGACAAAAAGCTTTAAAATATACATATGCATTGGGTAGGTGGATGGAAAGATTTCTTTATCAATGCTTTCTGATGCTTGTTATTATATCTTTCTCTGTGTTAAACATACGTGTGCTTCACTTTCTGGAAGACTGGTTTCTGGTGGCACTCAATCGAGTCCCTACGGAGAGACACTAATGAGGACTGTCCCTCTTAATGAGATAGTTTGGAGTTATGTTTATGTAACTTCATTTTAATCCACAAAATGACCACTGTGTTGTAACTGGTAACTTGGTGTGAAAGTAGAGGTCTTTTACCATGAGACAGGTGTGCTACCACTTAACCTGCATATGAATACTATATGGAAGACAGGTACACTGATCAGCCACAACATTAAAACCACCTGCCTAATATCATCTAAGACCCCTCATGCTGCCAGAACAGCTTGGCTTCATCAAAGCATGGTCTTTGGCACCAAGTTGCAAGGTGGGGCCTCCATGGATCAGATTTTTTGGTCCAGTACATCCCACAGAAGCTTGACCAGATTAAGATCTGTGGAATTTGGAGGCCAATGCAATACCTTGAACTCTTCCGTGTTCCTTAAACCATTACTGAACTATTTTTGGAATTTGGCAGGGTGCATTATCCAGCTGAAAGAGGCCACTGCCATCAGGGAATGCCATTGCTGTGAAAGGGTGTACGTGGTCTGCAACAATCTCTAGATAGCTGGTACATGTCAAAGTAACATCCATATGAATTCCAGGACCAAAGGTTTCCCAGCAAACCATTGCCCAGAGCTTAACACTGCCTCCATCGGCCTGCCTTCTTTCCATGGTGCACCCTATTGCCATCTCTTCCCCAGATAAACCGCACACATGCACGTGGCCATCCACCTGATCTAAAAGGAAAAGTGATTCATTGCATCAGGCAAAAATATTCCATTGCTCCAGTTCTGATTCACAAGTCCCCATTGAAGGTGCTTATGGTGGTAGACAGGAGTCATCATGACCAGTTTGCGATGCACTTTGTCTTCTGACACCTTTTATCCTGGCTGGCATTAGGTTTTTCTGCAATTTGAGCTACAGTAGCACTCTCATCCAACGTGCATCAATAAGCTTTGGGTGCCTATGACGCTGAAGCTGGTTCACTGGTTGTACTTCCTTGCACCACTTTAGGAACGTACCAATCACTGCATACCGGAAACATCCCAATAGACTTGCCGTTTTGGAGATGCCCTGACCCAGTCATCTAGCGAACACTATTTGGCCCTTTTCAAAGTCACTCTGTACATGCTTACCTGCTTCTAACACATAAATTCTAGAACTGACTGTTCACTTGCTACCTAATATATCCTATCCCTTGGCAGGTGCCATTGTAACAATATAATGTTATTCACTTTATCTGCCACTGATTTTAATATTATGGCTGATCAGTGTATACTAAAGAGACCTTCCATTTGTATATGAACATTATCTCTTCTATGTTTTACTAACGATCTAACATGTAATATTTTTTCTCCTCAATTATTGTTCTAATGTGTGCTGTATATGGATACATTTACTTTTAAGACCTTAGTTGAAGAGGAATTGCAGTAGTTGATTTAAGAAGAACTCTCTTGCATTTATTGTAATTTGTTTTTACATTTGTGTTATACAAATTGCTCTTTAAGATCCTTTTCCTAGGTTAATAATAAGTACTTCTTTTAGAGCCTATATTCAACATCTGACTATGCCTGGCTTGCATAGCTAATGCAGTAATAGCCTGCAGGGTCCAGTTAAATGATATATGGGCGTAATCAACCTTTGTGATGACTATTCAAAAGTAATACCCTTAGCTTTATACAGCAACATATATTACACAAGGCAAAACCTTATGAAGGAATCCTCTGCAGACTCAGCTAATGCTGTGCAATCTTTATTCCCCCTTTGTGTACTTCTAGTCAAAGTGTGTTCCAAGTGTAATTTAATAAATATAGCATGCTGAAGCATGTTCATATATGCTCGGTGAATGGATTAAGTAAAATTGCTTTATTTCACCAAGCTCAGCAAGAAGTTTACATAAGGAATCGCATATGCTAATCAACATTGTATTCAAATAGGGAAAAAAAAAACTTTTAAAGGGACACTCACACTTTACTGATAATGTGCTTACACTGGAAGGAAAGTTTGTGAACCCCTAGAGATGTTTATATATTAAACATCTACATGGTTATTAGATACTAATGTTCTAATAGTGGATAAATATCACCTCATTAAACACAAGACACACAAGCATTATTTATTGTCAGAATGTATTTATTAGTCACTGATTGAATGTACACTATCGATGTAAATCCGCTTTCAGTAATCATGAACCTTTACTTTCAGGACACCTACAATAATGACTGTTAAACATTTCCTAAAGCTGTGATCAGTCTCTCATATTGGTTTTCAGTATTATTTGCTCAAAGGGTCACTTCAAGCACCATCATCACTTTACTGATTTGAAGTGGTCATGGTGCCTGGAATCTACATCTGCAGATTTTCAGGATGAAATGCTGCACATACAGAGTTATCTTCTCTGCTGTCAGAGGTGTAACTTCACCTCTGACCACTTCATTGGGGTGTAATTAGCTAGCCTGAAACGAGGGTTCCAGGGGACAAATGGGAATCCTCTGCAAATGTGGCATCTGATGCACACACATGCTGGTGCCAGACAGCCAATGGTGGCACAGACTCCCACCCTGCTGGCCATGTCCTCCCCTCATCCAGCCCTCCATAACCTCCCTCTGGCAACGGGGAGTGACATCAACATGGAAGATTGGTCTGCAGGTAAAACTTGGCCCTAGTGCTGGATTGGGACAACCCAGCACAGCAAGGGTTACTTTAACAAAAAACATTGGTATTTGGTTAGAATAATGCTTTTAAGTAGCTGCTGCAATGCTGTGATTTGGGGGGTTTATGCTGAGCCCTACTGCAGTATTTCAATCTGTTTGAGTCTGAACTTTGAAAACACAGAATGTAACTTTGTATTTCTGCTTTTATGCTGGTCGATAGAGCATTACCCCAGAAGGCTTATGGATCATCATAAAGAGGGCTCCAATGTTTGTTTTTCCCTTGCAATCCTCCTATTCTAGTGTTACTCTTGTTTTCTTTATATTTTCTGTGTCCTGTCTTTTTCTGATTGCTGAGTCATTAGCACTCACATTAGCCAAGACAAATGATGCAGGGCTCCCCATATTTTTAAACTGATTCCTCCATGCACCGTCATACTCCTCCTAATGGTCATTGTTAGAATTCATGGCCATTTTTCTACATTTATAAGATTACCATTAGTTGATGCGACTGGATTGTCAGCAACTATTATAAGACCATTAATGTACCTTTCCCTGACATCCATACTCTTGAGGATTTTGTATTGTTGTTTCATGCCCTTTATCGCAGAGTTATTCAATGCTTGTGTATGTTCCTAGAAGAATGCTTGATAAATCCCAGTGTATAGAAAATGAGACACTGCTTAAAATCTGATAGTTTGAGTAGATTTATTGAAAAACTCAGTACAAAATAATACAATAATACTAAATATGTTTTCTGTAATTGCATATCATTTAACAGGTTTACTGTCAGGTACACAAACTTCTATGGTCGGTTTTTCTTCAAATGCGTTGACAGAAAGCGTTGCAAGAGGAATGACTTTAGACAGTACTGAAGCTGGTGTACAAGTGGCAACAACAACTGAAGCTACCAATGAAAGCCAGGCAACTGAAACTGAAAAATCAGCTGGACCAATGGTAGCCTCATAATGGGCAACATTTCTATCTTTTTCTCACTGGCTGTTTGTATGCAGATGTTACTTACCCTTGCAGTGTAATATTATTGTGAACTGTTTCATCATTGGACAATCTTTCTGACATTTTGTAGCTTTCGTTTGCAAAGAGAACCTATATCATACACTAATCATAGTTTGTTGTACGTCAAGGCAAATGTTGCAATGTCTAAATAGATTGGAATTGAGCACTGTAGCATCTTGTTATGTATTTGATTGGTTTAACATGCTTTGTTGTTAATTACAATATACAATTTACTCTAGATTGTAAGCTCACAGGCAATCTAGCAAAGTACTCTGTATTGAAGAGCTTCAAGGGCTGCATCTGTGCTCATGGGCAGGGCCCTTATTACCTATTGTATTGGTCTGTTAATATTGCATTGTTGTTGTGTTTTTCCCCCAATTGTGCAGCACTGCAAAATATATGGGTACTTTACAAATGCCAGTATAAATAGTAATAATAATCTGAGTCTCTGGGATAATTCAACTGTGCTAGACTACAGGGTAGGCATATGAGTTAAAGGCTATAAAAAAAATGAAATAAAACCAATATACATTACATACCATTGTTAAGAAAGCAGTATCAACTAGATGGAATTGTATTAATACCCATTATATATTGTGGACAGACTGTATTGGGAGCATTCCTGTTTGTTACTGTTTTGGGTTTGTATATATTGTTATTCAGCTTGCTATGAAAATGCATCTTAGTTAAGTAATATACTTTATATATTAGTGAATTCAACATTGTTTAAAATTAGTATAAATAAAAACATATATATATATGTCTGTCCATACAGTGTGCTGTTCTATGGAGCCTAATACATGAGCTAACAAAACACGCAACATTACAATGAGCTGAAGATGCAAATGCCAAGAACCATCAGCCAAATTAGGGGGTGAACCTCTTACAGATATCTAAGGATCCCAACTAAAGTAAATTACATTAAAGTAACACTCCAAGTACCATAACCACTACAGCTTGCTCCTCCCTGTCATAAGCAGTGAAACAGTTTTTTAAAATAGTTTGACTTCTTACCTAGGGTACACCGGGCACTGTCCGCTATAAATGCCACAGAGTCAGATGTTCCTAAGCAGGGACTTACATTAGCTCTCCTGAGCTAAGCCTTGCAGCTTATTGGCTGAGGATAGATAAGAACCATTTAAAAAGGATTTGACTACTTATGGGGAGGTGTAATGCGTATGGTGCTCTGAGTGTTTCTTAAATAAAAGTTGCATTTTATTTAAATACATCATTTTCTGTAGTTGGTATCTTCTTTAACCCCTTAAGGACACATGACATGTGTGACATGTCATGATTCCCTTTTATTCCAGAAGTTTGGTCCTTAAGGGGTTAATAGCCTACATTGGATTTATAAAAAAAAAAAAACATATTTTTTTTTCCTTTCATGGATGTTAGATTGCATCATCAACTTATTCTTATAATCAGGATTTATTCCTGTGTGAAAATGTACAAATTGTATCTGTGTGAGTGTCAAAACATAGACTATTGCATTAACAGCTAGATGTTTGTGAATTGTATTTCCCTTGATGCTCACTGAGCCACTATGGGTGTGACGTTTAGCTGTCACTGGACTACTACATAACTTATAAATTCCTTTATGGTCAACAACTCAACAATTTAATACATTTATTAAAAAGTACATAGCAAGCAGCACTTATAAGATTCAGTTGCGCTCTCCTAATGGCCTGCCAAATACATCCTTTGGCTAGATCAAATTTGAATGCATGTTACAACCATTACATTATTACATTATCATTATGTCGTGCCAAGTATTTTCTGTAATATATCTAATAAAAAATAGTTTTGTTTCACATTAAAACTGTTTAGTTTTTTTTTTTTTATGTTATAGGAAAATGTGTTTGTTTTTTTGCTTTCTTGTGCCGAGTTTAGCAACCAATAATATTTCAGTAGGTTTTTAGGACAATTTCAGCATCAGTTTATTTAATGTCTAAAAAACATGTAGCTAAAATAGTACATATTTTCAGTGCTCACATCTTTTGAAATGATTGCACAAATAAATTGTTGCAATAGGCCCATCATTTTAGTTCACTATTCCTTATGGTATTTTCTGTACCTAAAAATCTTTATATATACAATGCATTTTATATATCTTGTATTCTGGTAGAAGTGGGATATAAAACAATTATTATTATTTTTTTTAAAGCAAGCGGTTTTAATGTGTAAATCCTAATTGTGTTTAAAAGAAATAGCCTTATAAAAATAGGTCAAACTTTCCAGTTGTTTTTTTTTTTTAAATAGTTGTTTATTTTTCCAGTTACAATCATACTGAATAATCTCTTTACTGAAAAGTTAGTCATTAGCCACTGTATGTCATTCATACTGGAGCTAGTTACAGCTCCATAAAATGTGAGTAGGACTGTATCGTTTTCCTTTTATTTTCCCCTGTAAGAACATACTACCCTATTATTCCTTTCTGTTGTTTTATATGGACTCCACTGGTGAACCCACCCTGCTACGCCAATTGAGGAATTACCCAGACACTTGGTAGAAAAATACTTCTGATAAGTGCATATCTACATTATCTCTTGGACTTGTTTTACCATTTTGGACTTTTAACTATATATTTATTTATCTAGTATATAATACATACTGTATATATCACTGTACATATCAAAATTGTGGTGCTACCCCTAGCTCTTTCTTTTTTTCGATGGTGATTGGAGCAACCTTTTAACAGAGATTATAGGTGATTTTAAATCTGTTTATTCAATAGTGATATTTCCAGAGAAGTGATGGTTCCCCTTTAATAAAGCCTATAATGTTGTTTAAGCAAATCAAAGAAGGTCCAGGCAGTGGCGTACACACAACCCATGGGGCACCGGTGTGAAAACAGATCCGAGGCCCCCTCCCGCGCGCGCTTACTGTGCATGGGCTGGGGCCGCAACACATGGCGGCGGGCACCTTGTCGCAGGGCTGCGACCCCTGCGACCGCGGTATGTACGCCAGTGCATACACATACACTTAAAGGACCACTACAGACACCCAGATCACATCAGCTCAATGAAGTGGTCTGGGTGCCAGGTCCCTCTAGTTTTAACCCTGCAGCTGAAAACATAGCAGTTTCACTGAGGGTTAATCCAGCCTCCAGTGGCTGTCTCATTAACAGCCGCTAAAGGAGCTTCTGCGATTCTCACTGGGAAAGCCCAGTGAGAAGACGCTGAACGTCCATAGGAAAGCATTGAGTAATGCTTTGCTATGGGCGGTTTGAATGCGCGCGCGGCTCTTGCCACGCATGCGCCTTCGGAGCTGAGAGGCGGATCGGGGCGGAGAGATCCCCAGCGCCAAGGGAGTCCGGCGCTGGAGAAAGGTAAGTGCTTAAGACACACACACACTCTCATGAACAGACGCATACACACTAGCTAACAGACACACACATTTACTGACAGACACACACTCAGTGACAGACATACTTACACACTCACTGACAGACAGACACACTCACTCATAAAACACACACTCACTAACAGACACACACTCAGTAACAGACACACACTCATTGACACACTCTAACACTAACACACACACACTCCAACACTAACACACACACACTAACACACACACACTCTAACACACACACACTAACACACTCTAACACACACATACTAACACACACACTCACACACATACACAAACTAACACACACACACTCACACACACACACTAACACACACACACACTAACACACGTTTAAAAAAAAAAATTTAATCCCCCTAATCTCCCTACTTTAGGGAGAGTTGAGGGGATTCCCTGGGGTCCAGTGGTGTCACTCGGAAGGCAGGCTGGCGCGGGGAAGCACTCCCCCCTGAGTGCTTCCTCTTCAGCTCCCTCGCGTACTGATACCGGAGCCAGAAGATGACGTCATCTTCAGACTCCGGTATCAGTGCGGTGCGTGAGGGAGCTGAAGAGGAAGTACACAGGGGAGAGTGCTTCCTCGCGTGCCCGCCAGCCTGCCTGCCTGCCGGGTGACACCAGGGCCAGCCTCAGGGAGCCCTGAGGTGGCCGGCTCCTGGGCCCCCCCGGAGAAGAGGCTGGCCACAGTGGGTATATACCGGGTTGCAGGGCGGCTGGGCCCCCTGGTGGGCCGGGCCCGGCCGCAACCGCGACCCCTGCGACCCTGGTATGTACGCCACTGGGTCCAGGCACTCAATGAAGTGAATTTAACAGTGCTTTAATGAAGCATTACACTGGGCAACCTGGTTGCCCTGTGTAGTGGTTCATTACAAAGCTGCAAAATCAGTTTGCTGAGTACCTGGACATTACAGCTGGTATTTCACTAACTGGTACCGTTTTCCTTGTGACAACTGAGAAACCCAGGTATCATTTGATACCTGGGACTTTTCTCTGTCAACTGGGATAAAATTAGCAAAGCCAGACTGCCAAAAAACCTGATGCACCGCAGCACACAGCCCTTTAAATCTATTTAAATTCCCACGCTAAGTGCGCGCACGCTCAGGATGGTGATTTGGGGCTGTGAGCAGTCTAAGGAAGTCCACCCGCCTGGGTCTTTGTAAACTCTGACATGGTCTCCATGCATGCCACCTGCCAATTGGGGTTAGTGCTGGGCTTGCCTGCTACCAAACACAGATCATAGTGTGATTGGCAAAGTCGAAACTTTAGCATTACATTGGAGATACTTGTCATACTGAAAAAAGCCAGGTGATGACGGTCACAGACAACTCTCTATTGTTTTAGCTTAGAAATCCCTTTGCTGATATCAGTACTTATATTAGCAGAGAGAAACCCTCAGGAATAGGATTGGGTTAATGAAATCAGCAATGGAAATTCCTTTGACATCAGCAGGAGGGGGAACCATTTTAGCATTATTACTAGGATTAGCCCTCAGTTTAAATTAATGATAAGGATTATGTTAGGAGTAAGGATTACATACCAGAAGAAGGGTGAAATGTGTGGATTTAAGGCAAGGAAGCCAGCATACCACAGATAACAAGAAACTTAGGATAGAATGGCACAAAAGAACAACAAACAGCATTGTCTCTATGACTCTTCTGGTCTGAAAACTTACAGAGTTGCTTCTGTTGCCAACATTATCTATACTTATTGACCATGAGTGCATTTATGACATACTGTATCTTAGGAAAATGAACATACATTTGCTAATTAAATACCAGTTAAGTGTCCTTGTGTTAGTTAGTGGCAATGATTTGTAAATGGCCATTTAATTCAGTGTTATTGCATGCTGATGAGACTGCCAATACCTGTTGTTCTTATATCGTTTTTCACTAAAATGAACTAATGTAGCAGAACTGATAATGTCACTACGTTCGTAAATAACATGGTCATTTTCATTATAATCTACCACTGCAGATAATTTCATAAACTGCATTTGAAATGCCTGAAGGGCCAGTAATGCCTAAATCTTCTGTTAATGTTTAATACCACACCAAGATAAAATTCCATACATGTGTAAAGGTTTTAAAGTGTACCTGTCATGAAACACATGAGTTATGTTTATTATATAGAGAATAAAATTGTATCTTATACATTGTGCAAGCATGAAGATTGGGAGCAAAAAAGCCTATTTAAAATAGGTCTTTCCCCAATCAATCAATTCTTCAGCACAGACCTTTGTGCCAAAGAACTGAAAGACAGAGAAAACAGGAGACATCTTATATGCAGTTCTTCTCTTTTCCACTATAAGCAGCCCAAGTGCATGGGCAATGGTTGCTATGGTTCCTCCCCAGCTGACGCTTCTAGCACTTCTAGATACGGAGTGAGTGACATCGTTCTCTTTAGCTGGTGGTGTGCTTGCAATGGTGGTTTGCCTTTCTTGTGGGAGTGTCCTCAAGCAGAGCAAATCAAATGAGAGAATATGGCTATTGATGTGTAATATCCATACCTGTATTTATCGCGGTGGTTGTTAAGCAGTACAACATCCATGAAGAAGAAGAAATGGCAGTGCGGTCCTGCCTGCCCCCCAGCTTCTGATGCCCCTTTGGAGGTGACCACAGGAAAGTATAAATTTAAGGAGGTTTTGGATAGTAATATCACTTTATTTTGAGTTTAATGTGGTATAGAGCAGATATATGATATCCATTGTATGTACATCAAAGCACTATCACTTTAATTGTTTAGACACCGTTTTTCTGTATTGTGTTTTTATCACATTAATTTTGCATTATTTATTCACGATGCTCTTATAACAGATTATTTAAATACACTTGAGCTTATTTAGCACTATTTAATTTATCTCCCATATTGGAATGAGTGTAGGACCCACCGATATTGGGGTACGGTGACATAGTGGTGGGCTTAACACAATATGGCCATATAGTGAAACTGAATTCCCATATTTGTTTGCTAGGATAGGTGATTTAAAGTAGCCTTAAAACTGTACTTTTTATGTGTGCACTGAGAAAAATAACAGTGCATGCCTGAATCCTTTATCAAGATTTTTGAATCTTTAATAAGTGTGGCGACTCATGAGCAGAAATTTAGCAAGAGATCACTTAAGACTAATCCATCTACTCTGCAAGATCTGGTAACCTGCAAAAATGCATACACCTATCAAAATAAAATAATTTCAATATATCTATTATTTGTTGTACTAAAATAACTATCCTTTGAAAGAATCTGTTGTCATCGATTCCATATTAGAACTTTCACCTGTCTGTTTTTTCCTTTTTTCACCAGCGAATTTTTTCCCCTGAAATCTTTGCTTGGGAGATGTTCTTTTAAGGTTATCGCCACATACTTCTTTTTATTTTTTTCTCTGGCAATGTTAT